TAAGTTCCTTTGAGTTCATGCTTCCACCTCCAACGGTCTTGCTTTCCTTGCATCAGTTTACTCTCTGCAACAGCCTCTTAAGATCCTGCAATAGGGTGTTCTCTCTTCCTATCAGCTCCCTACGCCAACCCCACTTCCAAACCCATTCTCCACTCTTCCATTCACCCATATTTTTAATTAAAGCATCCTTATATTCTGCCACTCTAAATAACCTAGTGAATTTCTCCTTAAAACTCATATTCCCATGCCATTTTTCCTGGCAGAACAATGTATCATTCCTTTCCCCCACAGTTGTCACCAAGCCCTTGTGGACTCATCCCTCTTTATTTCCTGTTTCTTTATTTAATTTCCACAATGCCTTGCACCAATATGAGTGGTTAGGCTTCACCTCTCTCCCCTCCTAGTCCCTTCTCTTATGAACCCCATATTTTGCCTCAACTTCCTTGTTCCATAATGCCTCTTTTTCCATCACCAGTCTCCAATCTCCATAGTTGATACTATTATTTGGAGCTTAACTAGTTTTTTACTTAGGTTGAAGGGATGGCAAAAACATTTACGCTTTGTGGGGGTAGATGCAATTCCATCTTCAATAGATAAAGCCAGAGGCCAGGTTTTTCTCCCTTGATAAAATTTGGCTGATTTATTTACAATGCAATGTAATATTTTGTATTTCAATACATGTTTTAAGAGAGGGCTAATAGCTTCACATAATCACATGCCCATCGAGGATGACTGCTTATTCACCTAGTATGTACTTAATTTATCCCATCATCCTTGTTTTCTGTTGTGCATATAAAATTAGCAAGGATCAACTAATGTCAATATGCACTAAATGTAACGGAAGGTTAATCCAAAAGGCATCTGACGACATAGGAATCTATTGACGCTTGGACCTCGTTGAAGCTGGAAAAGGGTTTGTGCTATTACCGTATCTTTAATTGTTAATGCCACATTCACTTTTTTAACTTAACCATTGCGCTCTTCATTAATTCAATTCACTCCTTTATATAAATTACACTTTGCAAGAATGGCAACAGAACTTACAGGACTAGGCAGTGCCTCTTCGTCTCAGTCATCCAAATCTCTTTGGGAATTTTTTATAGGATAGAATTTGCCCCTATCCTTGTTATTTGTGGGAATGGCGAATGGGTTCCGTGAGAATTTTCCACCCTGTTAATTTATATTATAAAATAATTTAATTATTTTTCTTTTATTTTTATTTAAAACAAAATATTTTCAAGAGTTGAGTTTAAAAAAAGTGTTAGATTGAGTTTGGTTTTAAATAATTGAACTTTAATATGGGTTAGAATTAAGTATGAGTAAGGAGTATGGTCTATAAATATAAGTTAAATACTTAAATTTAGTTAGATTTGGGATCCGTTTGGTATAGTGGTTTGAAGATAATAGTTAATTGTTTTACCTGAGCTATTAAGAATAAGTATTTGATAAATTTATTTATTTCGAAACTACTATAAATTAAATATTTGATAAAAATTTTTATTTAATGGTTTGAGACTAGTAGATAGCAAGTAGGATCTAAATCACTAGCAAATTGAAAAAGTTATCTAATTTTTTACACCAAATCACTAGCAAATTAAAATTTTTAATTTTATTGATAAATTTATGCTTTTTAATTTTTAAAATTTATTACCACAGTTTTTAATTAGTACTTATTTAGTTAGTTTTAACTTTATTTTTTGTCTTTAATATTATTAAGTAATTATTATATTTTTATTTTTACATTAATTTATCATAAAAATATATTAATT